CGAGATAACAAGGATGCCATTTTGCTGGAAGCGCAACTGTATGTGGCCACAACAAGCAGGCCAGGGAGGCTCAGGCGGGGCAAGTCTCTCCCTAATTAGAAAAAATCAATCTTGCTATTCACAGGTAGGCGCCCTTCTTCCTCTTCAGGAAATCGCCTTTCCCTTATTTTGCTTTTTGAAGCGAATAAGACAAACAACAGATAAGAAGAGAGGACAGGGAATGACTAGGTAAAGAGAGGAGCTCTTCAATTTCCTCCCTATCTCTTAAGTTACTTTTCCTTCTTGGGTGGGTGTCCTTTTTTCTTCCTTGAAGATGCAGAAAACTAGCAAAAAGGACACCCGATCGCCCATTTTCTTTTCAATTCCCTTCCTTATCTCCTATGCTCTTTTCCTTATTCATTGCAACAGGAGAATACCGGAAAAGGGCCTCCATTCCCCTCTTCTTCCTTTCTTGTGTTTTTGTCATTTAAAGGGGAACAGGAGAAGACAAGGGAAAGAGAAGGAGAGAGGAGAGATAAAAGGAACACAATTCTAATGGGAAGAGCCAAGAAAAGAATAGAAGAGAGATGAACAAAGAAGATGGAGAGACAAAACAAGGCGCAAAGAAGATGGCACTCTTCTTTATCTATCCTCTCGCCCTTCTCTCTCCCTTCCCTCTTTCTTTTCGAAACAGAAAAACTAAATTGGAAGAACTTGAAAAGGAGAAGGGTAAGGAAAAGAGCAGAAGAGACAGGCCGAAAAGAGGAATATGATGAACTGAAAAGAAGAGAAGACACAAGAAACAAGGAGACGGATAGCACTCTTCTTTATCTATCATCTCTCCCTTCCTTGTCTCTCGCTTTCCCCTCTATAATTAAAAAAATAGGTGCCCTCTCTCCTCTTCAGGAAGCCCCCTTGCTCTTATTTTGCTAGCTTTCTGAAACGACAAGGAAACAACACATAGAAAGAGAGGAAAGGGAATGAAACAATAGGCAGTGGAGCTCTTCAGTGTCTTTACCTATCTCTTTTCTTGTTTTTCTTTTTCATTCAATAAGGAAAAGAAGCTTCCTTTGGTGTGATTTTGAGATTCAAAAGAGAACAAGAGAAGAGAAGGGAGAGAGAAAGGAGAGAGGAGAGATCAAAAGGAAGCAATTTTCATGGGAAGAGCAATGAAAATCATGGAGGAGAAATGAAGACAGGAGACCGGGATCCCCTTGGCACCCTGCAAAAGTCCTGCAAATACCACACAAAACGGAAAAGGGTAGGAACAACATTTGCGGGTCAAAATTTGCCGGGATCCCCATGGCACCCTGCAAAAGTCCTGCAAATACCACACAAAACGGGAAAGGGTAGGAACAACTTTGCCGGTCAAAATTTGCCGGGATCCCCTTGGCACCCTGCAAAAGTCCTGCAAATGCCACACAAAACGGAAAAGGGTAGGAACAACATTTGCAGGTCAAAATTTGCCGGGATCCCCTTGGCACCCTGCAAAAGTCCTGCAAATGCCACACAAAACGGAAAGGGTAGGAACAACATTTGCGGGTCAAAATTTGCCGGGATCCCCTTGGCACCCTGCAAAAGTCCTGCAAATACCACACAAAACGGAAAAAGGTAGGAACAACATTTGCGGGTCAAAATTTGCCGGGATCCCCTTGGCACCCTGCAAAAGTCCTGCAAATGCCACACAAAACGAAAAAGGGTAGGAACAAAAATTGCGGGTCAAAATTTGCCGGGATCCCCTTGGCACCCTGCAAAAGTCCTGCAAATGCCACACAAAACGGAAAAGGGTAGGAACAACATTTGCGGGTCAAAATTTGCCGGGATCCCCTTGGCACCCTGCAAAAGTCCTGCAAATGCCACACAAACGGGAATAGGGTAGGAACAACATTTGCGGGTCAAAATTTGCCGGGATTCCCTTGGCGCCCTGCAAAAGTCCTGCAAATACCACACAAAACGAAAAAGGGTAGGAACAACATTTGCGGGTCAAAATTTGCCGGGATCCCCTTGGCACCCTGCAAAAATCCTGCAAATGCCACACAAAACGGAAAAGGGTAGGAACAACATTTGCGGGCCAAAATTTGCCGGGATCCCCTTGGCACCCTGCGAAAGCCCTGCAAATGCCACACAAATCGGAATAGTGTAGGAACAACATTTGCGGGTCAAAATTTGCCGGGATCCCCTTGGCACCCTGCAAAAGTCCTGCAAATACCACACACAACGGAAAAGGGTAGGAACAACATTTGCGGGTCGGGGTTGGGGGGTCAGGAATTAAATAATTTAAATAATTTAAATAATTTAAATGCACCAGGGGGGGGCGTCCGGGCATTAAAATTATTTAAATTATTTAATTCCCCGGCTCGTACTTTAGTATTGGGGGGAGGCCCGCGCTCGTAATTCAGTATTGGGGGGAGGCCCGGGCTCGTAATTTAGTGTTGAGGGGGAGGCCCGGGCTCGTGATTTAGTATCGGGGAATTGAAAAATTGATTTCATTTCAATGTCCAGGGGCCCGATTTGGCCAAATTTTGCCGGGCAGCCTCCGGGCAAAATTTGGCCAAATCGAGCCGCGCATTTCTCATGGCATACGAAGGCGGCAAATTTTGACCCGCAAAGTTGTTCCTACCCGTTCCCGTTTTGTGTGGTGTTTGCATCACTTTTCCCGAGTGCCAAGGGGATCCCGGCAAATTTTGACCGGCAAAGTTGTTCCTACCCTTTCCCGATTTGTGTGGTATTTGCAGGACTTTTCCAGGGTGCCAAGGGAATCCCGGCAAATTTTGACCCGCAAAGTTGTTCCTACCCTTTCCCGTTTTGTGTGGTATTTGCAGGACTTTTTCCAGGGTTGCCAGGGAAATACCGAGCACACATTTTTGACGGCAAAGTTGTTCCTCCCCTTCCCGGTTTGTGTGTATTTGCAGGGCTT